TTAATTTAATGGGGTCAAACAAGGCTAAGTACCTGCTTGACAACAATTAAAAAGAATTATTTAGAAAAATTGAGTTTTGAAATTTTTTGGTTTTTTTTTCTTTTTTTCAGAATGTGTAGTTGAAAATAAGTTTGTGGAAAAGAATTTTGTGAAAATGGTTGTCAAACATGGACTAATTAAAATTAAGGAAATTTTCAAAGTAGCCAAAATTAATAATGGAATTGAAAATATGTCTAATTTCTTAAAACGACAATCATACCCCTGTAGGGCTGTAAAATGGATCGGATATGGAACGGATCTGTCAAGATCCGATCCAATCCGTTCCTTTAAGAAATATTATCCTATTCAATTCGATCTGATAATTCAACGGATATTTAATTGTTAAATCCATATTCGATTTGTTATGTTATCGAATATTTGATTCGATAATCCGATCCGAATTTAAAAAAAAAAAAAAAAATTTCCACCATTTTTTCGGGTAATATGATTTTTTCCCAAAAAATATTTTAACTATCTTGATAAGTTCACCTATTATACTAAAAGGCCCAAATCATTTTTTATCCAAATGATGCTCCTTTAGTCCTCTTTTTTAAATGAGACTTTTATTGAAATGTTTTAGTAATCTTTTAATGTGGGATACTAACTTTTTAAATGATACTCATTTTCCAACATTTTAATAATATTTCAATATGGGATACTAGTCAATTGTCAATTCTAAGTGTTACTAATTTATTTTATTATTTTCATTAAAAATCATAGCCTCAACGAAATTATAATCACAAATAATATCAATTTAAACAATGTACATTATTTTTGGACATATTAATTATTAGTTTTTTATGTTATAAAACAAACTACTATTGTTATTTTTATTTTATTTTAATTAATAAAAAATTAAATCTTTTCAAATATTTCAATTAACAATATTATACTATTATCTAATATTATTTATTATTTGAAAATTATGTGTAAAGCATAATATAATTTTCAAAATGGAAAAAATTATGTTTACTATATTATAATATAACATATAAAATATATTATATTATTATAATAAATCGGATCGAATCGACCTATATCCATATTTGTTCCATTTAGTTAACGGATTATCGGATTCGGATCGGATTTGGATTAAAATTCAATCCATTGACAGCCGTATACCCATGTTTGCATCACAATTTTTTTACGGGTAATTATATTGTTACTCAATTTTTATTTCACACATCACATTTTAATTGAAATTAAATTTCCAAATTTTTACACATTGTAGCGATTATTTATTTAACTTTTTTCAGTAACATTTTCATTAATAAGTATGTTTCGTCTTTGATGATAATTTATATTAAAACATTTTATTTTCATGCTTCGAAATAAGGGGAAAAATATTTCTTCGCACTTTTTATTTATTTTTTTAATATGATGGAAAAATAAGTTATTTTATACCACTTCAACAAACTTTTAAACATAAAACTATTATCAAATATAAAAAGTGTTAACTGATAAAAAGTTTGAGGATAAGAATGACATAAAAGTTCCTTAGAGACGTAAATACTAGAATGAATAAATATTCAGAACTTTAAGTACAATTTAAATGTGGTTCAAGAAATAAAAATTGTAGTGTGAATATAATTACTATTTTTTTTTTTATATAAATCGAATTTTAGTTGCAATGAAGTTATCAATAATTATTAATTTTCGTACTTAAATCTCCAAACGTTTTTGTGTTGCATTTTTATATTTAATATTCAATTAATTAATATATATTGTCTCTAATTATAATTCACGTTCATGTATTTTATCAACATATTTTGAAATAAGGAGAAAATATTTATTCAATTTAACAATGTTTTCAAAATCTGATCGAAGCAATCGGTTCAACCAAAAAGTTAGTGAACTAGAACGAAATCTAGTCCGATTATGCTAGAAAAGCCATATAACAACTTACAAAAATACCTCTAAAATTATATGTCTTTTGAAAAATCATATAAAAAGTATTTTGGAACTAAAAAACATTGTGTAAAATTAAGTATTGCTTTTTGATTAAAAAGTAACGTTTGTCACTCAAAAAAGTAACAAAAATTTCAAGAAAAGTGATAGAAAAGAAAAGGTGACAACTCTATGCCCATGTTTGATTCTCATTCTTTTGAAAAAATAAATTTTTAAACAGTATTTTGACATCATTTTAATCACTCATTCTTTAATAAAATAATATTATACGTAAATAAAAAACGTTTCCTTATTTTTTAACCACACATTTCACATCAATACACTATTCAAAAACAAATTCTTATAAAAAGAACTAGGCTCCAACAAGGGTTGTATGCATAATCTATAATATATTAAAATATCATATCAAGGAGAATCATTTTTGGACGATTTTAATCCTCTTACAATTTAATTATTGCAATAATATCTTACTTCGATATGTAATAAATACTACATCATTATCGTCATTTTATGAAATTTGCGTTATTGATTTTCAATTAATTAACAATCATATTAATCTAGATTCAATGAATTTTTACTTGATAAATCTTGAATTACATAAATTTAGAGTTATTATAGATGAATCTATTCATATTTATATATCTAGAAATTTTAATGGGTATTTAAATTTATTTATTAAAAATTAATGTTTATGTATCAAATGTAATATAAAAAGATTGCTTATTTATAGTATTTCATCATTAAAAAAAATTTGAATCATATAAATTGAGTTTTAAGAGTAAAATTTGAGTACAATTTTCTATTCTTTAATTTTTATGCTAAATTTTATTTTTTTAATTCGTCCGAGATTCATCAAATCTCCCAACAAATTGTTAAATTTAGAATAACGTGCAATACACGTTCAACTTTGACTAATACTATAAAAAGTAACAGAAATTTAAAAAAAAATAACAAATATTCAAAAGAGTGGCAAAACGTGAATCAATACTTTGGAATCAATTCAATAAAGTGATAAATAGTTTTAAAAAAATGACAAAAACTCGTAAAAGTGACAACGCTAAAAAAAAGTATCAAAACACTAATCAAAACTTTGAAATCAATTTAATAAAGTCACAGAAAATAAAAATATAAAATATAAAAAAGTGATAAAAACTCAAATAAGTAACAACACTAAAAAAAGTAACAAAAATTCAAAAAAGTGACAAAACACCAATCAAAACCTTAGAATCAGTCGACTAAAGTGACAGAACTTAAAAAAGCGAAAACACTTCTAATAGTGACAAATACCCTGAAAAGAGAAATAATATTTAACATCAATCAAAACATTAGAAGAGATCTAAAGGATGGTTGATTTTCTTTTGCACATTGTCGATTTGTGATTATACTTCCTTCCATTAGCTAAAAATAAAGCATAACTTAAATTTTAGAAATATGATTACTGTTCACGAAATTATTTCTTTCGATTCAAAATCCACTGCAAGTGTACGGTTCGTTAACAAGTAGTAAAATAAATTATGAGTCCAAGTATCAATCCCACAAGGATTGAATTAGTTCAAATCCATCTATTATGACCTTAACCGAAACACGAAAGTAGGATGTATGTATTGTGATTTAACTAAGAAAAATGTGAACTATGATGCAAATATGAGTGAGAAACTTATATTAAAAAGTAAAATGATCTGGATGCAATCTACGATAATTTATGGAATTAATGAGTTACTAACGCACTAGGATCACGAATTCCCAAGCAACACCCGTTCAATTTTTAATCATGTAAACTTGATACACATTCCCAGAATTGATGAATCAATATTCCTATTTTAATTTAGCAATCTCTCTCGAACAATGCCAAACCTATCCAATATGTAATTCGACTATATCTCTATGACGAATACTAACATACAGAAATGCATTATGATTTCATGAATATTCAACAATTTACACAGGACATAAAGGTATATTTCTATCATCTATCGGACCCTATGATGATTTATATCACGTCGAGCCTATTTTCCTTCTCTCGAATGCATAAAACGAGCCACCAAAATCATATAATTACGTGCACCATAATAATATGAAAATAAAAACGTATAAATCATTCAACTCCGAAACATGTGCTTAAATATATCAAATATCCAAATCAAAAATCAAAAGTAATATTGCAAGGTTCATTGATCTCCTAGTACATGAAAAATCTAGTCTAACATGCTAAAAAAAAGAAAATACAAAAATAATTGAAGAAACGTCATCACCCAAATCAAGTTTCAATCAATTCTTCAATTAGCGCGATATTTTCCTCTTGTTCTCTCTTCGTTTTCTCGTTCAAAATCTCTCTTTTTCTTCTAAAAACGGTGTTCACTTCATTCTGGTCGAGTTTTTGTTTCTATAGGACCCTAAAAATCTTGTTTCCATTAGAGTTTCGGCAAAATAAGGAAACTGCAGATTCGGTCTCCAAATTGCTCTATGCGACTGCATAGTACATCTCTATGCGGTCGCATAGAGTAAATTGTTTTGAGAATTTATTCTCGAGTGGCCTCTATGCGGCCACATAGAGGGGTCGTATAGTGCTACCAACTATGAAAAAAGTCCATTTTGGTCATTCTACTTGAATCTTTCACTTATTGTCATCTTTTATTCAGTCTTTCCATTCTATCATCCCAAGATATCATCAATTGGCATTTGGCTTAATCAATTTCTTGATTTGTTCATCGGGTCAACTTTTGGATAATTGCACATTGGTCCCTGAACTTTCACTTTGCGTCATTTTAGTCTTTTTTCGCGTCTTTTTTCCTAAATTTCACCATGTTCATCGGTGTTTCCTACAATTCACAAATGTAACTAGATTAAGTCACAATTCAATCATTTTGCTCATAATTAAATCATGTTTGTGAGCTAAATAAGTGTGCAAAAACACACTTATCAATTACCAATAAGTTGGAAGTGAGAAAAATTAAAAAAGTGACAAATTTCTTTGTAGGTCAAGTTTCTTGATTCTCCTATGTTGATGAACAATTAAGATACGTCAATATTAAATTGTATAGCTGCATCCCCAATGAAAAAAATTCCATATTCGACTCAATACCAAGATTTCAATATCAAGAATTTAGTTACATGTACAATATATACATCCTATATATGCAAGTTTACACCAATTACATAAATTTGTACATGCATTAAAGCAATACAATATACAATTAGATGAAAAGGTCCCTAATTCTACTAAATGTTAATGCACAACATAAAATGTTGGCGAAAGGAAAGGACCTCGTAAAGGGAATGGCTGAAAGTGGTTGCGTCATCGGACCATTGACTTTGGGATGCACTTGTGAAGCTATACACTGATGCCGTACTGATGCCAAAGAAATGGAAAAAGCTGACTACATACTGTAAAAGGTTGCTGAGAAGAGAAGTGGCAAACCAATGTTTAGTTCATATATGTTAGTTATGGATGGGGATGTCTACGAGTCGAGTTGAAATTTTAGGCTCTAGCTCAGCTCGGGTAAAATGTCCGAGCTTCTTTTCAGGCTCAAGCCATTTTTGCTCGGCTAAAAAATTAGGCTTGATCCTTTCCGAGCCTAGCCGGGCCGGCTCAAAAATTAATTTTTTTAATGAAAAAGGCAGCAGCTAAAATTTAGTTGTTGCCATTTAAGGCAGCAGCACGCTGCCTTCAATTTTATTTTTTAAAAATATATGCTCGATTCTCCCGAGTCGGTGACCCACACGGGTTGGCTCGAGACTTGCGGGGAACCTAAAAATTGGGCTTCGTTTTCCCGAGTCTCGAGTCGATGAGCTTGAGCTTTTTTCGAGCCAAGTTACTGGTGGCCCGTGCCGACGAGCCCGATTGTAATCCCTAATTATGGACCAATATGCTAAGAGACATGACATCAACAATGCTGAAAAAAATGTTAATTGCATATAATCATATTGCACAAAACCCATCAAATACCAACCCTAAAAACATATTTTCTTCTTTCACCCTCTTCCTACACATAAGTTCTTCCTCATACCACTAAAAGAGGAAGGCAGTGATAAAGAACAAGATTACAATATGTTTTTGCGTCCATTAAGTATGATGAAATTTCTAATTTCGACATACATTATCTACAAGTTCGAGAAAAAAAAAACATAAAATTCTAAAGCATTTTCATTTCAAACAATTTTTTCAAACCATATTACTTAATCTTTTATGTAATTAATCGCCAACAAAAGCAACAACAATTCTATGTTAAGAGCATACCTATATGCAAGTTGCAACTAAAATAAGGAATCAAGTGTCAATCAAAGATTTCCCACAATAAATTGAAAATCAGGATTCATGTGTCAATCAAAGATTTCCCACAAATTGAAAATCAAAGTTATATAAACCCACTATCAACACAATCAAATTAATTCATTTGAAAAAAAAAAAAACTACCAAAGGAGACACCAACCACTAAAATCCTAGAAGAATAGCTTTTTCTCGTCTTTCTTCAAACCATTTTTCATTTATACATTCATTTTCTCAATCAAAAAGACCCAAAATTATATCATTTTACTTCAAAATTATTAAATATTTTTCAGCATAAGTAAATAAACTAGCATAAAATTTCATTCATAAGGAAAACAAACACTGCATTTTATCACATCGAAATAAATAAACATAAAACAAATCAAATCAAAAAGGGAAAAAAATACCTGGTTGAACTTGAAATTGAGTAGAATTTGGTGCCAGTCTTGGGATGTTGATTTAGGTGTAGGCACTAACAAGGATTTTGGGGTGCACAATCAGGGGTTTTACTTTCCTTTGACGACGATGTAGTTTTGGGGAAGATGATTTAGGACGTGCTGGTGATGAAGTGGGGAGAATTTTAGGGTATTAATTACGGGAGTAAAAGTTTTAATTTTTGTCAGGGCATTATTCTAATCAATCGTGATACTTTTGTACAATATATTTTAAAATTTGATTTACAATGTATGATTTGACAAACATCATATCCATCTATTTGAAAAATTATTTTTAAAATCAATGGTCAGGATTTTTCCAACACACTTATTGTTAATCAAATTGTGCAAATGCATTGTACAAATGATTAATTTTACAACAAAAAATCTATTTGTACATCACTTTTTTCACATTAATTTTCACACTCCTCTCACAAAGGTGAGCTCCGCGATTATTTTAATCATGGATCCTACCCACTTGCATGTGTGTGCGCTGTGAAAAAAGTGTACGTGTAGAATGGTTGGTTTTACAATGTATTTGGTCTAATTTTCCCAAAATCATATGCATAAAAATCGGTGCAAAAATTGGGGAACCACCTGATTCAACCGAAAAACCAATGAATTGTGACGATTTGTGCGGGTTTCACATTTGATAAGTAATAAATGGTAGATAATGGGTTTTAAAATGATGTTTTAATTAATAATTTTTTTAATATAATGTATAAATTATTTATTATTCTAATTTCGGGTCAATTCTGGTTCATCCATTTGACCCTTGACACTTTAATTTCGAGTCGATTACCGGACTAATTTTCAAAACATTGCTATTTAACTCAATATATAAACTTATATTTTTTGTTTCATCTTTTTTTAGCTTAATTTTAGAAATCTCGGTTCAAAAAGTAAGAACCCTTTTTGATAAAATCTCGACTTTGATTAAACCCCGAACCTCTCAACAATTACACAACACATTTTCCAAAAATCGCTATTACAAAATTTGTT